CMMMAMCCCMRSCYTTTTTTTTTCTATTTTATTTAGAGATAGGGCCTTGCTAAGTTGCTGAGGCTGGCTTTGAACTCTCAATCCTCCTGCCTCAGCCTCCCTAGCCACTGAGATTACAGGTGTGTTCCACCAGGCCTGGCCATAGTGTGATCTTAAAGACAAAGACAAATGCAGACAAGTACAATATGGGAAAGGAAGATGAGAGCCAATCTAGCTAAAATACAAACATTCTACACAAAGTATTAAACGGACCTGGTGTTGAAAGGCAAAAACATGATAGACCATGACCAAGATGGGTTCTCCCCAGGAAGGAAAAGATAGTTTGAAATATTTTAAAAATTTGCTCCTACAATTCAYTACATTAATAGATTAAAGAAGAAAAACAATCTGATCAACTCATAGATGCTAAAAAGGCAATCCGTAAAGTTCAACACTTATTATTGATTTAAAGATAATAAAACAAAGAAAGCAAACTTGGAAGAGAAGAAAACCTCCTAGCCCAATAAACAGTGTCTACGATCACACTACATAATGGAATGTCAGGATTGCTGTCAAAACTAGGAGGGAGACAGGGAAGCCTCTGTCACCACTTCTAGTTACCAGGTAAAGGGAGACAAGAAAAAGAATAAGGATAGAGATTGGAGAAACACAATTGTCATTATTTCCAGACAGTCTGATTACCTATTAAAAAGCCTGAAAGAATATATATATATATTAGAATTAATGCAGAGGAAGAGGCTGTAGACAGATAGGGAACCCAGATATCCTGTCAGCTGGCTGCCCCACCAGCCTGTCGACTCCTGACCTTGTCCCTGGTCTCCTCCTGGAATCCCTCTCTTCACAATATACCCAGATGTCAGCAACTCTTGTGCAGGACCACCTCCGGCCAGGCATAGTGCAGGACACCTCTGACAACCTCTGGAGGGGTTGGTGACTTGTTGCGAGGGAATTTCCCACTACTGGTTAGGGTGTTGCTGATGTGGAACATGGAGTTGTCCTCAGAGCCAGGCCCTTTGATTCTGCTTACAGCTGCCTTCAGTTGGTGACATGGGTGTGGGCAGAGAAAGTCTCAGCATGGGACTGCGTCAGAATTCTTGGTGGGATTCTCATTTTAGCAGTGGGGTTGGACATGAATCCTATGGAAGGACCCAGGCTGGGCAGGGAATGGGCTCTGCAATTTCTGAGGGTGCTCACCTCCCTCACCTGTCAGACAGGCTCTTCACACCAGATAAGTGACCTGACCCTGCTGGTGGACAGCCTGGAAGCAGAGAGAGCTGGAGTGCAGAGCACCAGGGCCCAGGGCACCAGCCCCCTCCACCCTGCACCCTTACCAGGCTTGGTTCCTGTTGGCTCCCTCTGTCTTCCCCCAGCCCACGCATCCTTCCTGGGCCTCTCTGTACCCAGGGGTAGTTAATATGCATTTCAACCCCGTCAGATCCAATCAACTCTGGTTACTTCACCGAGCAACCAACCCAGAGGGAAGTCACATAGGCTTGGTCACCAGGGAACAGGGCATGTGAGGATAGAGGGCAGCAGGGACAGAGGCAACCAGATCTCACCTGCCTCTGAGCAAGGAGAAGAGGATAAGTGGGGTTCAGGAGAGGGCTCTGGAGGGGCCAGAGGAGACAGAGATAAGGAGAAGGGCAAAAGGCTTGGGGACCGGAAGAGCATGGGGAGTCATTCCTCTTCCCAGTGTGCTCAGAGACCCTCGGATAAGGGGCCATGCCTGCCCCTCAAAGTGGTAGCCTCTTGTACCCTGGAAGCCAAGGACAATATTAGTTATTTACTGCTGCTTAACAAATTAGTCCCAAACATTGTGGCTTAAAACTACAGTACACATTTCTGATCCTTCACTATGGACGGGGGCCCTCCTGGCTGGATGTTTGTAGCACAGGGCTTCTCATGAGCTCTCAGGCCCTATGTCAGCCAGCTACAGTCACCCGAAGGCTTGCCTGGGACTGGAGGATCCACTTTCACAGTAGTCCGTTCAACTGGTCCACAAGTTGGTGATGGCCGTTGCCAGGAGGCCTCAATTTCCTCCTCATGAACCTCTTTATTGGGTGGGTTACATGAGTGTCCACATGGATGCTCCACTCTGAGTCCACTCCGCCATATGGGAGCTGCTGTGGTCTGATACTTCCAATCTACCTTTGAAATTAAAGTTGGCCACCAGCCTTCTCTGGGAAAGGGAAGAGTCTGGGCAGGAAAGGGACTCTTTCCAGGGTAGATGATCAACATCGGAGGATCTGCAGAGTCCACAGACCAGACATCCAAAGACCACCACTCCTGAGCCTCCTGCGGCCACTGCCCTCTGCTTTTCTCCTCCTGCTCAAACCAGGGTCTAGCTTCCTCCACTGCCCAAAGTTCCACCCAGGTTAGGAATTCAGATCCACTAAAACATGAATGTGTGAAAAGGTCAAGAATGGCAGGGGGTGGTGGAGCCTGTGGCAAACCAGACAGTGACTAAAGGCATTTGCTTAAAAACATTTTTCTAGGGCTGGGACTGTAGTTCAGTGGTAGAGTGCTTACCTAGCACCATGTGTGAGGCACTGGGTTTGAGTCTCAGCACCACATAAAAATAAATAAGGTGAATGTACTGTGTCCATCTACAACATATATATTTTTTTTTCTAAAAAATATATTTTTTTCTAAATGTTACACTAGGCCAAATAAACCACAGCTGACAGACTCAAACAGCCCTAGGAGATGAGATGAAAAGAGACCCCAAATCACAACTCACAGCTGGTCCTTATGCATACATGTGTATGTGCACACATGTATACAACACACACACCCCTGTACCAGCGCTCTGGCTGCTTGAAAGAGTAAAGTTGTTAGTCGGCCACAATGACGTATGCCCGTAATCCCAGAGGCTCAGGACCCTGAAGCAGGAGGATTGTGAGTTCAAAGCCAGCCTCAGCAACAGTAAGATGCTAAGCAACTCAGTGAGAACCTGTCCCCAAATAAAATACAAAATAGGGCTGGGGATGTGGGCACAGGCGGGATGCAACCCTGCTCTCCTGGGCCACCAGGCGGCAATAGAGAGGACCATGCCAGCTCCACAGTTGGTTTTCACATGGACCCTGGACTCAGCTATGGAGAGCCTTTCTGCACCCCTTTCTCTTGGACCTCTTTCTTTCCCTACTACCCGGTCTAATAAGGGCAAGTACAGGTGTACAGAGCAGTCCAGAGGAATGCAGATGGGAGCTTCCAGAAGCCAGGAGCTGGGGCATCTGGTGTGCCCACTCTACCAATGGACTCACCCTCTTGAATGGAAAAGCCTTTTACAAGCCTGGGTGGAGAGTGGGAGACGCTCTGGGGATGGCTGGGGGCTCAGGGATGGAACTCGCCCTGGCCAGACTATAGAGGATTATTCTGGCCACTGAACAGTGGCTCTGGGTGACATCTGTCTGCACACAGTTTCCCCCAGGGTGGCCTCCGGTGCCCCAGGACACTATCCTGAAGTGTCCCCACTCTCTCTCCTCCTTTCCTTTCTGAACACAGGGACACCAACTTATCCACACCCTGCCCTCCTCCTGGAAGCCTCCCGCCAGGTAAGGAGCAGGTGTGGCTTGGTAGGGTTGTGGGGAGAGCAGGGAAAGGGGTGAGGAAGGGAAGAAACTGTGTGGGAGCAAACAAGAGGCCTCCTCACATGCCCCTGTCTCCGTGAGACCCATGGCACCCCCAGGGCAGAGAACGTGGAAAGCAGCAAAAGGCCTGGAAAGGAAATCCGTCAGTGGGTATGGGCTGGCCGAGGGGATCCCAGGCAGGACGCAGTCTGAGGAGAGCCCCCACCCCACCCCTCCACAGAAGGGACCTCCCTTCCTCCCTCCCACCCCAAGACAGTGTGACTGGGCAGATATGGAGCAAGGCAAAGAACACCAGCAGGTGGCAAAGGTGGTCCACACGTGGTTGTTAATTAAGGCAGGGCATGGAGGGAGGGACACGGGCCTGAGCACACGGACACCAGGTCTGAGTCATGACTCTGGCTCTAAGAAGCCAAACAAACTTGAAAGTCCCTTTGCCTCTGGTCTTCAGTCTCCTCATCCGAGAAGTCAGCGGGTTGGGTCAGAAGTAGATGACAGATACAGCCACGTGGCGCACTGCCAGGAGGACAGTGGGTGGCCTCCGGGTGCAGGTGCCCAGGGTTCCCTCCGATGTTCTCAGCAGGACAGAGGAGAGGGCTGTTCCCTCAGGGCGGAGGTGGACACTTCCTACAAGGGGGTCTCCTTCTCCCCAGCAATCAGCCCTTCCTTCGTGAGGGGGAGCCTGCAGCCTCCGTTGGTGCCTCCGTCAGGATGCCGGTGCTGCTTGGGCTGTGGCAGGCTGGAGTCGGGGGTGACGAGCTGTCGCAGGCGCTGCGGAGAGGAGAGGAGAGGCGGTGAGTGCATGCTTTTGGTGAGGGAGGAAAGGATGGCTCCTCATGTGTGAGCCTGGGCTCAGCTCAGAGCAGGGCATACAGGGACAAAGAGTGTTTTAAGAGAAGAGTCAAGAACACAGCGAGGAGGAGGGCACTGCCTGGCTTCCGGTGCAGGTCCTGCTCCCAACCACCTGCACACCCCTAGCAGCTCACTCAACTCCTCTGTTCACGCGATTGCCTCAGTTTCCTCATCTATAAAATGAGGATAACAGTAGAACACACTACACTGTTTAGTGATCAATAAGTGCATATTTTTTGTTATTACTATCACTACCATTCTTTTTATGACTCTTGGCATGTGCTCATAAGTATCTATTGTTTTTCCTGTTATCAGTGGTACAACTATTACTATTGCTATTGACACTGGTCCTATCTCCTTCCCTCTTCTCTCTTTGAATGCAGATGTAACAACTGGAATCATAACTGCTTTTGTGTGACTATGAAGGGATAAGCATGATGAAATGACATTGGGTTCAGGATGGAAGCACAGAAATAAAGGAAGAGTCTGGTCCCTAATGTCCCCTTTAAGCAGCCAAACCAAATGCTATCAGCCCCTGATTGATTTTCTTGATATGTCAAAGAACAAATAAACCTATTTGCTTAAACTGTTACAGGGTGGATTTTCTATTACTTGTAGGCCAGACAGACTTTAACAGATGGAACGTCTTTGTGGGTCATTAGCCATAGCCTCCGCCAGGAAGGCATGTCCCAAACTCCCAACAGGGAGCCTTTTTCAGTGTCTCCAAGCAGGCTTAAGATGAAAGGAAGTCAGGAGCCTGTGTGTGGAGTGAACCATGCTTACCAGTTTTCCAAGAGCAAGGTATCGATGCTCTTTAAGCTTCTGTGTCTAGGTCTCTCTATGTTCTTGTAACTTGGCTTCCCTTAACCCTTTACAGTTTACCCTTGATGATCTACCAGAGGTCAAGAAGGTTTCTGAAAGTAAAGCCATTGGACCGGTCAAAGCCCTTCTCTTTGAGATTCTGTGAGGCCACAGGCCCCCCCACCCCACCCCACGCAGAGCCTGTGTGTGCAACCAGCCCGTCCTCTCTTGCGCCCGGCACCTACCTTCTTGAAGGAACCCTGGGTTCTCAGGAGGGTGATGACAATGAAGAGTGGGACACAGGCCATGGAGGAGAAAGCCAGGAACCAGCCAATGGAGTACCCCCAGGGAGGGTACACGTAGACGTTGTTGTATCTGAGAGGCGTGTACTTGGTCAAGGAGAAGACGAAAGTGGCCTGGGAAGAGGAAAGGGCAGATGCGGATGAGACAGAGGGACATTCAAAGTCCCTCCCTGGCCACTTGAACAGCCCAAGAAGAAGACAAGCAGGATGCACTGTGGTGCATCCCAGGTGGGACAGGAAAAGCCACTGCAAATCGTGACCCAAGGCATCACTCACAAGAACTGAGGCAGAAGGAGACAGAGGTGGGGCAGGGGGAAATGGGGGTCCATAAGTCAGGCATCGCCCCTCACCCCACAAGTCTTCTGGGGGCAGGAGGGAGGAAGGGGAAGCAGACTGGGCACATACCAGGCAAAGCCCTGGGGTCAGGAAGAGCCAGGAGATCTTCACCAGTGGCCAAGGCCGGTAGCCAATCATGTCCTCAATGTTGTCATAGAAACGGTCCGCCCCTGACCAGGTCCACCGTGGGGAAAGAGGGTGAGAAGAGCTTCATGGGTCTTTGGGAAAGACTGGCCTGGCTTCTTCCCCACCCACCCACCCACCCTGGGATGGGAGACAGGAACAGCTGTGAATGAGATGTGCCCCTGGAACCCCCGTCAGAGAGCAGGGAGCAGGGGCTGGTACCATCTCTGACTTCCTGTGTAAGGATGGAGTGGAGACCCCCACTCTCCTCCTCACACAGGAAAGTGTGAGCCTGAAACGGGGCCCAGTGGCAGTGCAGATGCTTGTTTACCTGTGCCACAGACATGGATCTGACTGGGGTCAGAGCAGCGAGGAGCCCCGTGCTCACACATACTATACCAAACTCAGGGTTAGAAAATTACAGGACAAGGGCCAGGATCCCAGACTCCAGGGGAACTACCCCTGCGTTCCAAAGGAAGCATGGTAAGGTTTGATTTACGCTTTGGGAAAACCCTGGTTTTGTTTTTGTTTTGTTTTAATGTCCATAGGTTTCTACATTTGCTTAGGCAGAGCTGGTCTTCTCGAAGTGAAGAACCAACCACTCCTTGGAAAAGCCACGTGGGGGACTCCTCTCCCCACACCCCTAGGACCTCCCCACTGATCACTGCCATGTGAAACCCCACCATGAAAGAGTCATAGCTTTCACTTCTAAAAGCCAAAGTTAAAAGCCAGATGTTGCCAGGTGGGTATCACAGTCTAAGACCTCACTGTGATTGAGTTTATCAGATCCTCTCTGAGAACAAGATTTGGAAAGGGGTAGAAGAAAAAAACAGAAAACATCAGAAGCTTGAAGGGAGAAGGTGAAGAGAGGAAAGGACACCAAGCAGGAAGACTTAGGGCAGCAAAATAATCAGCCCTCCTACTTGTAACTTCACCTTGAGTCTTTTGACATGGGTACTGTGACCCCAACCTGGTCCCAGTGGAGCTAGCAGACCTGGGGTATGACAATGGCCCTTCTACTTTCTAGCTGTGTGAGGTTAGGCAAGAGATGCCACCTCTCTGAACCTCCCTTTCCCCTGCAAAAGACTGTCATAGAGATTCTGAGATTGTGAGAGAGAAAGTGACCAGTACAGTGCCTGACACAGAGCACACGGCTCAATTAAAAAAGGTTTCTTTTCCTGGTAGTCAGGCATAGGGATGGCAGGGCATTAAGGCATTCCACAGCACTGCTGAAGGGCCCCAGGATGTTGGTGGGAATGCATGGAAGGCAGAATTCACTGCAGTGTGAGAAAGAAATGTGTAGTAGCCTCGACGGAAGAGGTTGCTTCAAAACCACGAGAATGAGCTTCCAGCCTGTGGAAGTATTCAAACAAAATCAGGTGACAACCTGGTTGTTTGAAAGGGAACACGGGAATCTGTGAAGGGTCAGACCAAGTGACCCTGACAGTCCCTCCGACTGGGGTTCTACTGGCGAAGGGCATCAGGCCGCCTCTGCGTCAAGAGCACCCTGCATGGCTATTGATCACTCCTCTCTCTGGTCAAGGAAATCTGTCTTGTCATTGTCCCAGCTCTTGCTGCCCTCAGGAGAGATGCCAGGCTGCCTGGCCGCGGCTCACCTTCCCAGGAAACAGGAACAGGACGGTGATGCAAAGGTTCTCGGGAAACACTCACCTCTTGGTCCAAGCAGACCCTGTCCTTCGCCGGGGCCTCCCCTGCCCCAGCCTCCTCCCACTCGGTCCTCAACCTCTCTGCCTCCTTACCGTACACCCAGCTGATGCAGATCACTTCGAACACGGAGAGGAAGAGCAGGCATATGCCACTGGAGGCATAGTAGTCAAACAGCTGGAAGATATACATCCCGCCCTGTGGAGCAGGGAGCAGGGCTGAGGCCTGGGGCCAGGGCGCTGGCTGCAGGCTCCTCCGGGGTGGCAAATCCCCACCAGGGGTGCCATCCTGCCCTGCCCAGGGAAGTTACTCCTTGCATCTAAGAGGATGCTGGCCCTACCTTAGGTCCTTCAGTCAACATCCCTGCATCCCATCCTCTGGGAATGGACACCCACCTCCCTCTGTTCCTTTTGGGTTGGGGTATGCCACTCCCTGCAGCAGGCCTGAGTTAAGTTGTGACCCTGACTCCTGCCACACTCAGGAGAATGGGGTTGGTTGGATGGGAAAAAGTCAGCTGGAAGTGGTACCAGCCTTCCTGGATATCACAGGAAGAAAACCTGCCTGAGGACAAAGTTACCAGAGGAAAGGGGAGCCAGGAGAAGGGACCGTGTCATTAATGCAGCTGGATCCAACTATACCTAAAATCCAACTATCTCTAGACTTTGCAGCCACCCAACCCCCATTAATTCCCCTTTCTGCTTAACCCAGCTTGTATTTGGTTTCTTCGAGACCTAACTAAGGTAGACAGATCCCATCAAGCAAGGCTGGTACCACTTCCAGCTGACCTTTTCCCATCCACCCAAGCCCTGTGAGAGAAACTGAGCAGGTGTCAATGCCCCACTTAGCAGATAAGGAAAGAGTGGTTCTGAGAGGGGCCAGCAGTGACCCCAAGTCACCCTGTGATGAGCCTCAAAGCAGGCTAACCATCCAGCTCACCTCGGTGACCATCAGGAGCCCTAACAGGTAGCACACCACAGCAATGGTGAGGATCAGCAGCTCGCGCCGCCTGCTCTTCCGAAGCTGCCTGGGGAACATGTCCATGGAGGCTGTCACCAGGCACTCCATACAGACAAACTGTGGGCCAGGAGGGGAGCTGGGGTGAGGGGAATGTGTGGGAGGCCGCCAGCCCCTGCCCAGCGCTCTCCCCGCCCAGCTCTGCCCTGGCCCTTCTCATCCCATTTGTCACGAGAAGGAGTCGGGGGTCTGGGTGAGGCCAGCCCTGCCCTTGTCCACAAGAAGGGGTCCCAACAGGGAGGATGGAAGGGGAGATCTATCCTGCCCAAGGTAGGAGGCTGGCACTGTGCTGGTGCTGAGCATCTGGGAGAGGCTGGAGGGTGTTGGGGGACACCTGTGTATGTGGAAGGCTCCAGCCTTGAGAACAAAATGGGCACCCCCTCCCCCACCAACACACACACAGAAGAGGGTCTCGAGGCCTGGGGCCACCAACCAACCACAAGCACGAGCCCCAGACTGTAGAGAAGGGCTCAGATTCATGGGTAGGAGGAAAGGAGTGAGAACAGTGAGGCCAAGACAAGCAGAAGCCGGAAAGAAGGTCACCCGGGCAGGGCTGGGCTGGGTGACGTACCTGGCTATCCAGCCCCAGGAATATGAGCATGAGGAAGAAAAGGCAGGACCACAGCGGGGACAAGGGCATCATAGTCACAGCCTTGGGGAATGCGATGAAGGCCAGACCGGGACCTGCCAGGCACACAGCATGCTCAGCTGATCCAGGGTCTCACTGCCCTCAGCAGAGTGCTGATCCCCTGCACTGTCCTGTCCATGTCACGTGCACGGCTAGCTCAAGACAGGGCTAGCTCAAGACGGCAGGGTGAGTCCGCTATTCCACTCCCTGAGGACAAAGCCATTCCTTCATCCGTGCACACACACGTCAGTCCATCCACTCCGCTCTTCCCCTCTCCCTCCTCCTTCCCGTGGTTCCAAAAACCTTGCTTTGTGCCAAGCACTGTCCTTCCCAGGCTAAAAGGTTCATGCCACTCAGTTTCTAGGGCTCCGGTCCTCTCTCCTTCCCCTCAGGTCCCAGGCAGACGGGGGCACCTACCTGACTCGGCCACTTCAGAAATGGGCACCCCCTGCTCTTGGGACATGAAGCCCAAGACGGAGAAGACGACAAACCCCGCCACAAAGCTGGTGGCACTGTTGAGGAAGCAGAGGGCGATGGAGTCCCTGTGGGAGTAGATTGATGCAGACAAAGGTGGGGAGCAAGAGAGGAAGAGTCCCATCAGGGAGGAGAGGAGGGTAAAGAGGAAAGAAGAAGGCAGAAGGGGAAGCACAGAGATGAGCCAGGGAGGGAGAAGGGAGAGAGAGACAAAAGTCAGGTGTCAGAGGAGGAGGAAAAGAAAGAAAGAGAGAAAGTGGGGAGAAAGAAAGTTAGCCTGGCAGGGTGTCAGTGGACACAAGGTGCCCCTCCCTGGGCCCAGGACGGTGGGTCTTGGTCTCGGAGCCCACCTCCAGGACTGTGACCCTCTTCGGCTCCCAGAGAGGCAGGAGTCACTCTCGCCCTGCCCCTGCCCCGGCCCCAGCCCTGCCAGTTCTCACTTGTAGCAGTTGTTGTGATACTTGTTGTAGCTGCCCAGGGCCGTGAGGCAGCCCTGGCAGATGGCAAAGGAGAAGAAGATCTGGGTGCCTGCGTCCATCCACACCTGCACGAGACCCCAAGAAAGTGCCAGGGTTAGGAGGGGGTGGCCACGGCCTAGAACCAGGGAAAACAGACCCCTGGCCATAGCCTAGGTCCACCCTTCACTGTCCCCAAGAATGTCACACCCATGTGACACTAGTCCATGTGACATACTTCCCCTAGTGTCCTCCCTTCTCTCCACAGTGGACTTCTCACAGGCAGGGCCCATTTTCAGTCCTATAGACACTTAGGAAGCACCAAAGACATGTGTGTCCCTTGACTACCTCAGGTGTGGTCTGTAAACTCAAGCTGTACCCAAGATGGGTGAGGCCCACCTGCAGGGCAGAGCTAAGAGTCGCCTGCATTCATTCAAACAGTGTATTTACACCATGCCTCAGGCAGCTGTGACCTGGGGCAAAGAGGCTGCTTCATGAAAATAGAAAGAAAAACCACCAAGACTTCATGAGCATGCAAAAATGTGCTCAGACAAGTCCTAGAGGAGGAAATGCAGTTGACCAGTAACCATGTGGGAGATGCCCAACCTTGTCCAGAGTTTAAAAAAAAAAAAAAGCTAAATTAAAATCATAAAGTGATACTGCTTGGACCTATCAAGTTATAAAAGATTAAAATAAATATTAATCAAATCTTGCAAAGGCCCTATAGGAAGAAGGGTAGCCTCAAATACTGGTAGTAGAAATCTATATTTCTCTAAAGCCAGAACCAGCTGGGTGCAGTGACACACACCTATAACCCTAGAGGCTCAGAAGGCTAAGGCAGGAGGATCACAAGTTCAAAGCCAGCCTCAGCAACATAGCAAGGCCCTAAGCAACCCAGCCAGACTCTGTCTCTAAATAAAATATTAAAAAGGGATGGGGATGTGGCTCAGGGGTTAAACACCCTGGATTCAATCCCCAATACCAAAAAAAAAAAAAAGGCTCTTTAAAGCCAATACCAACCACAGGTTCAACCAACCACAGCAAAAATATTCACCCCAAAAATGTACCTCTACTGAACATGAACAGATTTTTTTCTTAAATAATACAGTATAACAACTAATTTTATAGCATTTATATTATAGTAACTACTGTAAATTATCTAGATATTATTTAAAGTATACAGAAAAATTGCATTGGATTATATGCAAACACTATGCCATTTTATATGCAACTTAAGCATCCAAAAAATTGGTATCTGTGGGGGCCATAGAACCAATCTCCCATGGATACTGAGGGATAACCCTATATTTAAAAATAGATATCACCACCAAGTGCAGTGGCACAGGTCTAAAATCTCAGCAACTTGGAAGGCCAAGGCAGGAAGATCACAGGTTTAAGGCCAGCCTCAGCAACTTAGTGAAACCTTGTCTCAAAATCAAAAATAAAAAGAACTGGGGATGTAACTCAGTGACAGAGTTTCTCTGGGCTCATTCCCCAGGAGTGGGGGAAAAAATAGATATCACCTAAATGTCCAAGGGTAGGATATGAGCTCTAAGAGGGCAGAGAGACTGCCCTCTATCCACTGATCTATCCCTGGCACTAGAACAGTACTTAGCATTTAATGGGTCCTCAGTATATTTTGTTGAATAAATAAATGACTAATGAATGGATGAGATATTATGCAGGTGTTAAAAATTACATTTACAGGTGAATTTGACGGCACGGAAAAGTCTCATAAGTGAAACAAGGATAGATGTGTCTATATATATATATATATATATGTCAAAACACACACATACGCCAACCACATAGTGAAAATGGTTGGAAGGAAATATCCTAAAATGCCGACAGAAACTGTACCTGAATGGTGGGATTATAAGAGATTTTAAATCTTTTTCAATTTTCTTCCATGTTATCTAATTTTTCTCCAGTGGGCATCTCTTGCTTTTTTACCAAAGGAAAAGCAATAGAAGACTTTCAAATGCAGACTGGGTTTGGGGCAGGACCCTCCACCTCAAAGGTAAAAGGTCCCACATGGTGCCCACCTGGGGGTCCTTGAGGCGGAGCAGGTCTGGTCTCAGGTAGTAGATGATGCCCTCATAGGCTCCAGGGAGGGTGACACCTCGGATCAGTAGGATGACCAGCATCAGGTAGGGAAAAGTGGCTGTGAAATAAACAACCTGGAAGAGAAATAGGCCAAGGTCACTCCCGGTGGAGACCTGGCAGCCAGGCAGCCAGGACCCGGCAGAGAGTCTCCAGCGGCCGCCCCCACCCTCAGGTATCGCCAGTCACACAGAGCTCACCACCAGGTTCCACCATCATAGAAACAGCCTGGGGGAGAGCACGGGGAACTTTCCACACCTCCCCTACACATTCCAGTGGCTCTGCTCCCCAGCCCAGTGTGAGACACACATCAGCAGGGCAGGGGGAGGGGCAGGGACTCATCTGAAACCCAGAAACTAATTAGCCTTCATCCTTCAACCTGGCTGCTCTCCCCATGGCCAGGGTGAGGGTGGGACCGGCCCTCACAGAAAAAGTGGCCAGATTTGGACAGTGATTTGCAGGAAGATTCAGACTGTACTTTTCCAGGCTTAGGGTTGGGGAAGCAGCCGTGGCCTGAGCTCAGCAATCCTAGGGACTCACAAAAGGTGTTCCACTCTGTCCCTGACCACACTCAGCTCCTTACCAAGGGAGCGAGTGGCCTCATCTGTGTGGTTAGGACTACCATGATTCTTATCATTAGTATTGCTTTTATTTTCACCACAACCCAAAGAAGAGGGGGCTGCTAGGGGAACAGCCTAACTGTAGGGCTGATCAGAACAGTCAGCATCCTGCCATTCCTGGCTTTCAAAAACACCAAGCAGCATCTTAGGCTTTCTGTGTTGGAAATCAAGCTCAAACCCCAATTCTCTCTATATAATAAACCCACTGTTACCCAGTTTTGGCTTGAACCCCATCAGCAACTGGCAACTCACCACCCCAAAGACATTTCTGTTTGTGACTTGTGCTAAAAATATTCTCCATATGTATTAAATTCAACAAGCAGTTGAGTGGATGTAAGAGTGTGTGTTCCTAATTTGTGCAATATATACACAAAATGGCTATAGACACACACCTACATACCTATGAAAGGAACTAGGAGGCAACACAGAGAAAGTCAACAGGGATTAGCAGATCCAACTGCCATCATGCTGGTGGCCTGTACAGTGATTAGCTCCAACAGTGGAACTTTTATGGTTCTTATTTTGTTCTGAATATTGCTTACATAAACAGGTCTTTTAAAGTCTGTTGAAAACAGAAAGTGTTTCCTTGTATTGAGCTAAACTTTGCCTTCCTACAACTTCCCTCATCCTCACCATGCACCTCCCCTCTACCACTCTCTCAGTTCTCCTGAGGGCCCTCCAGGGGTCTCCATGGACTTTGGGGGCCACAGAGAGCCCAACAGGAGCCTGAACACCTCACCTTGCCCGTGGACTTGACCCCCTTCCAGATGCAGAAGTAGCAGACGATCCAGGCAAGCAAGAGGCACAGGGCCAACTCCCAGCGCAGGGTCCCCAGGTCATGGATGCCCGAGGTGATGCCTAGAACCCGTCTCCTAATGGATTGGGAAAAATTAAAAACCAGGTGAAAAGCTAAAAAGGATGATTGTCTATCATCACGTGTCCTGATTCTTAGAACTGACACCACAGGCCTCACACTCCAGGGCTTCCTCCGCTCCCAGCCCTGCTCACCTTCCCTGTGGTCATGCCATGTTCCCACCTGTGGTCTGTATGGCCCTGGCTGTTAGAAGACCAAATCATCATAATCCCATAGGTATCTGTGTCTTTCTAACTCATCCAGATTTCTCTGTTGTACAGATAGAGAAAAAGAGAGTGGGGATGGTGAGGAACGTAGAAACAACACGTCCATGGAGAGTAGATATTTGTATATGCAGGGTGATGGGCCAGAATGCGAGTATCGCAGGGAGGGGCTGAACCCTAAAGTGTTGGGCTCTAGAGATGTGCATGGGGAGATGGAGATGTGGGTATGACTGAGAGAGAACTTTAGGTGATCAAGGGCCTGCATGCGCGAGGGTGTGGGCAGACACAGGGTGTTGGTGAGCATGTGTGGGGACCTGTGAGAGAAGGGACGTGTGGCTGGTGGAGGTGGAAGTGTGCGTGATCCCATGGTAAGGTGAACATGTGAGCGGAGGGCCTGCCCATTTCTGTGGTATAAATACTCCCACATTGGCCAGGGTCAGGTTGCCAATGTGACATCACTGAATACAGAGTTTGGAAGAGATGATACAGTGGGCTCTCCTGGAGCTGTGGAGGCTGTTTCCAGCACACCATTGGACATGTGTGGGGTGGATGTGAGGGTGTAGGTGGATATTCGTGAGACTGTAAATGATGTGGAGAGAAAAATGTGAGTCTATGTGGACTCATGTGGGTCTGGGGTGAGTGTAAGGGGACAGGTGGACAGCGTGGGTGGATGTGAGATTGTTCTCTCATCCTTCAGTGATGGGGGGTAGGAGGTGCATGAGTGCTAGAAAGCATGCACAGAGAGTCTTAAACTTGCACCCCAGACTTTCCAATCTGCACAATTCAGACATGCAGACTGCCTCTGCTTAGGGGCCCCTGGCATGTGACAACCAGGCCCAGCACCTACTCCCAGAATTCCATGACAGATGAGGTGAAGTTCGCAGAATGGGTCACTTTGCTGGCTCCAGAGTGGTTCAGAAAGTCCATGCAATGCTCTGTTGGGGAGAAGATAGAGTGCATGTCAGTTAGGGACATGAYGGGGAGAGATGTCCCCACATCCAATCCCCCCCAGCCTAGGGGTCCCTAACATTCTAGTCGACCTTTGGACTCCCCACTTTCCAGAGTATCAGAAGTGAACTTCTGAGGAGGTTCATGGGACCAGCTTCTCCTCCTCATGTGGCCTGTGCTCACTGCTCTGGTTCTCACCAACCTCTGGCACCATCCAGACTGAAGATGATACAGCCCCAATATGAGTCGTTCACAAGGATAACTATCACCCCCATCTACAGACAAGGGACCAAGGCCAGGTGCAGCTCTTCCTGGCCTGATGCTGCTCACATGCTTCTCCCTCCCACTGTTACATAGTTCATTGTCTGTTTCTTCTACCCATAATGCTTTGTTCTGGTTGAACTATTTCTACAGCTCTACAGTAAGCTCAGAAGAGGGCTGGGTCCAGGTTGCCCTTGCTTGGCCTTGGAGCGGTGTTTGGCACATAATAGGTGCCCAGTAAATATTGTTAAATGATGAATGATCACCTCTTGCTACAAAGCCCACTGGGTTCTCACAACTGTACTTCATTCTCCCAGGGGCTGGTCTAAGGGCCCCCAGAAGGATCAGCCAGCAGAATGGCACCAAAGCCCATATGGGGTGGCTTTGAGGCCAATTCTGCCATATGCTGACCATCACCAGCCACCATGGCCCAACCTCAAGGGACAGACACCATCCCAGGGGCTGAAAGAATGGATACCTGTGTTCCAGTAATTGGTGCAGGTTGTCCAGGGTAGCTCAGAGGTGAAGGAGCTGAACAGGTAGAAGAGGGCCCAAGCGAGGATGATGATGTAGTAGATATTCAAATAGGACTCGATGACCACAGACGCCAGTCCAATGCCTTCCAGAGTGAATGGTGGGGGGGGGGCAGGGAGAATCCAAGAGATAAACATTAGCAAAAAAGTCACAAAGAGCTGCCAGGTGTGGCTACAAGGGTCTTCTTAGAGTTGGGTTTATTCATTGACATGAGAAGCCATTTATAGCCTTTTTTCCAAGTAAGAAAAGCAGGTTATAAATTATCATCCTATATATTCTCCCATTTTTGTAAAACATATTTGAGAGTGTCTATTTTTTTTTATTTTAATTTGTTATATATGACAACAGAATGAGAGTGTCTATTTTTGTTTATGAGAAAACTCTGGAAAGATTTCCACCCAAAAGTTAGCAAGAAGTTCTTGAAGTGATAGGATTTTGGATTTTAGTTTATTTTTTCAAGCTTTTTTTTTTCATTTTGCTTGTTGCATTTTCTGATGTAATTGTGTATTACTTGCAAAATGAAAAAAACAGGAAGGATAAAGGAGTAAGAAGAGGGAAATGGTAAAAATCTATCTCAGGATAAGAAAAAGAAAGCAGCCAGGAAGAGAGAAGTGGCCCTTGACATGATGTGCCTGGCCCAGCGTCCAGAGCCCCTCGCTGCAAAAGTTGAGCTTCCATTTTAACACTTATCAGGCAGGCTCTGGTTGGTGGGGTACACTTGGTCTCTTTAATGTGCTATAAAAGTGGAATCTTGCCAGGCGTGATGGTGCACACCTCTAATTCCAGCCACTCCAGAGGCTGAGTCAGGAGGATCACAAGTTCAAGGGCAGCCTCAGCAATTTAGCAAGGTTCTAAACAACTTAAGGAGACCCTGTCTCAAAAAAAAAAAAAAAAAAAACATAAAGTGCTGGAGTTGTGGCTAAATGGCTGAGCACCCCTGGGTTCAATTTCTGGTACCTAAAAAAATACCAAATTAATTAAATAAAAGTGGAATCTCCTCACAGTCATTTTAGAAGCAGCATTTTGCCAGGCTGAATGAAAGCCAGCTGGGAGGGGTGGTGGGTGGCGCTCCCCCAGGCCAAAGCCCACCCGGACTTTGTCCACCGGGACTGAGTTCTGGAGAACAGAGGACACAGGCTGATCAATGCTGTTTAACGAAGGCTGTGGCCTGTGTGGAACCACCCGTTAGCCTCAGGGCTGGCTCAGAAATCAATGCTGACCGTGAACCAAACTGCCCCTTGGCGGGAAGAACCCACTCGCGACTGTTTTGTTCTATCCTGGCAAAGGGCGGTTTGCAGGCGTCGTGGTCTCCCCGCGGCCAGGCTGGGGCGCTGCGGGGGCTGAAGAGCCAGGGCTGCCAAGGCCGAGGGCTCCCCCGGGAGCGGTGGGCCAGCCTGGGGGATGTTTCCGGGCCACACAGACTCCCACTCAGACCACGAAAGCACAAACAAGTGGCCTCTGTGCCAGCCTCCTGAACGCTGCGCTCCCCGTGGCCTGGCGGAACCTGACAGGGCGAGGATCAGCTGGTCAACACCGAGGACCGGCGAGGGGCGGGCGGGGAGGACGCGGGAGTGTGGGAGCGACCTGAGGTGATTCAGAAGCTAGAGTGAGTGCAGACTGGGGAGGGGGGTGTGGGTGAGCACAGGGTGCGTTTCCTGTGCGTCCTTTTGTGCACAGGCTACTGGGAGCTTGCGGGAGGAAGGGACAGTTAGGCGGGGAATGGGCAGGCAGTGAGCAGCTTGCACTCCCACCGCGCGCCGGGAGGGGCACACACCTTGAGCCAGCCTCTTCCGGAGCACCCAGGCCAAGGGAAGCCCAGTAACGTGGAAGAGGAAAGGAGCCGCAGTCTCACAGTCTCTTCCCCTACCCATCCAATGTCCACCTGCCAGGTACCCCTATAAGGGTGTTCTGCAGAGGCCAGGCTCTACTGCTGCTGCCCAGGAGCTTGCTTGGACCTGGGGTTAGAACTCAGCTGAGTGGGACTTTTACACTACTGCTGAGTTCAGAGCAGAACACCCAGAAACTCCTGCAGCGCCCAGAACTTATGAGTAGAAACTGGTAGGCCAAGCTTTGCTCTGCTCTGCCCCTCACTGCTACCTCCACAAGGACCCCCCTGGATGTTCCAGAAGCACAGCATGAAACAGGCTTCAGTCTTCCCCYGTGTGGTCAGGCACCCAGCCTTACCTAGTAACCAAGATGTTCCTCATGACACCTCTATCCAATTTGAACTGTGCCCAGGAAACCCAAGAACGCCTAGTCCCCAGGGCTCCCTTAGTTACTGACATGAGGGGAAGAGTCCTCTCTGCATTTCAAAATGTGCAAAGAACCTTTGAAGGACAGGAAGACCCCTTGGGCATCCCACTATCCCCCAGGGGACTGGCCAATCAACTAAAGAGGGGTTGGGGCAGGATGCCCCAGGCCGCTTACATTAGTGCCAACAGATTCATTGAGAGAGGAACAGAAGCTGCCCCTGGTATAGTCAAGAGGGAAAGGGTTCAAGTAGATCTGGATTCAAATCCTTTGTGAATGACCCCATTTTCCTCATCTACAAAATGGAACCAATAGTTACCAGAGAATTAGGTGAGAAAGGTGCTTACAAGAGACCTGACACAGGGTAGTGCTCCATAGATGCTAGATATCCCCATCAGCATCATTCCTGTCACTACATGTGTTGCAGGCCCATCTGGGACCATGACATCAACTCAGAAACACTTTCCATGAGGCTGATGAAGCTTGAACTGTAGGGTTCCTCCCTTGCAGGGACCACTCCCAAGCTCTGTACCTGATTTGGTCTTTGTCGTTTTGTCTGTTTTTCTTGACGTGCACCCTCCTTCCCAAGCTTTGTAAGCTTGGGCCCTGAAAAGCCTGGTTCTCACTCAGTGCAGGAGGAGAGTGGATAAGCAAAGGGGACAGTGAGTATGGAGAGGATGATGACAGTGAAGGGAGGGACGCTGGAAGGAGGTGGGCATGAGGACCTCCCCATGTATTGGAAGGAGGAGGCAGAATACTCACCCTGGAAGAGGGGGCAGATCTTCCTCCAGGCAGTGATGCTCCCTTGGCTGGTGTACTGGCCCAGGGCCACCTCTAGGAAGAACACGGGGACTCCGCAGCTGAAGAAGAAGATGAAGTAGGGAACAAAGAAGGCCCCTGCAGGAGAGGAGAGGAGAGGCTGAGCCACACCTTTCTGCTCTCGGCCCGGGGACCCTCCCAGACCTCCAGCACCTTCCTCCCGGGGGCCCAAGATGGCCTCCTCCTTTCTCATGCTGTCAGGGGTGATGGGTGGAAATGTTCCAGACTAAACCCTGAGTGAGGTGGGCAAGGCCTTTGAAAGGAAATGAATGAATTAGGATTAGGGAATAGTAGGTGCACTATGTATTTTCTTAGTGTGCTTCATGAATTTCATCAGTGTATTATTTTTGGAACCAAAACATGTGTTCTGTATAATTTGAAATGCTTATTAAATTATCAAGTTTGGTACATTTTAGAGAAAAACATCAAACAAAAAAACACCTTGGAAACATTATTTTCACACTAGTAATTTTTGGAGTGTTCCCCCACCCCATCAGGCTCTGGTCTGCAGGGGACTCGCAGCAGAGAAAGCTATCACATAATTAGGCACTGACCAGCAGCTACTGAGGGGAGGCCAGGCTAAGAGACATTCAGCAAATGATGTGATGGAATTGAAGACACCCTTCAGCCAGTGCCCACTTTGGTGGAAATCACCAAGGCCGCAACCTCACCTCAGAGGTTCAAATTGGGCAAGTGGATTCTGGTTCATCACCTAATAATAACACCTGACATTATTTGGTGCTGTGTGTCAGACCCTCTTCTAAATGCTTCACCGACATCAAAATCCTCACAAAACAACCTCCCATGTGGTAAGTACTATTGCTATCCCCTTTCACAGAAGAGAAAACTGAGGCTGGGTTTAAAAATGCAAAAAAAAAAAAAACTGAGGCATAAATGAGGAAACAGAGGCACCAACCCGGGGGTTTTGATCCTGATCTTAACTACTACATCAAAATGCCTCTAAAGTAATCTCTCTCATGTGTAGAAAAAAAATGGGAAGTATAAAGGAAAAAGCTCTGTGAATCCTTCTAGTTTTCTTGTAAACACACACATTCATTTCTCTTTTGCAAAATGAGAAYCTACTATAGATTATTTGATAACCATTTTAAAAATCTTCATCATGAACCTGTTCATATCAACCAATGAGTCTATACCTATATCATTTATTGGCTGTATAGTATTCCACTATATGGAATTCTAGCATATTTTAAGTACTTTGTTGTTGGGTTTTTCAGTGTACATTAGAAACACCACCACGGTGAAGACCATTGTCCATAGCCTCATGCACTTGTCTAATTTTCTTCTTAATACAAATTTCCAGTAGAGGAATTGCTGAGTCCAAAGATAAACTTTTTTTGTTTTGTTTTGTTTTACATGCATGTGTATGTGTGTTAAAATACATACCACATGAATCATTCTAACCATTTCCAAGTGCACAGTTCAGGGGCACTAAGTCCATTCGAAGTGTTGTGTAACTATCACCCCATCCACCTCCTGGAACTTTTTCATCATCACAAACTGAAACTCTGTCCAYATTGAACAGCAGCTCCCCATTCCTGTTCCTCCCCAGCCCCTGGCAACCACAGTTCTACTTTCTGTTTCTATGAACGTGCTTACTCTAGGTTCCCTCATGAAGGTGGGATCAGGGAGTACTTATCCTGATGGATTTCATTTAACGTATCTTCAAGATGCATCATATTGCAGCATATATCACGATCTCCTTCTCTATTAAGGCTAAATAATGTCCTTTGTGTGTATATGTCACACTTGGTGTATCCATTCATCCACTGTAGGACATCTGGGTTCTTTCCACCTTTGGGGATATACCTTGCCTAAAGGTCTTTGGCATGCATTTCACATTGCCCTCCGTAACTCTTATACCAACACGTCCCCCCTAGTAACAGGTGAGAGTGAAGAAGGGTTGATGTCCTCTGGACCAGAGTGCCACCTAACTCTCCACTGAGCTACAGTCCTGTTGCCTCACGTTGGCCTCCCCAGCCTGAGTGCTACTAGAGCATTGGCGAGCACACTGCAATGACACAACTGGCTCAGGTTTGGGTTTCGTGGATGATTGCAGCGCCAGGGCTGAGGGCAGGATTCAGGAGAAAGGACGGAGCTCCGGGGTTCTCCCACAGGGCACTTTCTAGGAGAGCTATGGGGCATGTGGCCCACAGGCCCATTCTGCCAACTGTCAGATGTCCTTCTCTCTAATAAAAGAGACGGCTTCCGTTCTGACTTTAAAATGTGGGCTTTGGTCCCACAGAAGCTGGGGACCTCAGAAGAGCCTCACCTCAGGCTGGTCACAGGTTTAGACCTTGCAGCGCAGAGGAGGACGTTGATTCCTCCATGCTTGGATTTCTCTCTGAGTTTCCAACACACCAGTTCTATAAATTAGCTCATCAAACCCTTACTTGGGCGGTTTAGCAACAGAGCTAAAGTGATACAGATATAATGTCTTTCTTTGGACCTGCCATCTTGGAGGTGACTTGGGCTCAGCCACCAGAGCCTGGGGCCCTGCCTCCTGCCCTCAGGCTCTCTCTTCCAGGTAGTAGGACAAGATGTAAACAGTGAGTTGAGGGCAGTCACCCAACCACAAGCATCGCACTAGCTATGTTCTGGGGCAAGGCCTCCTCTGGGACTTGACAACCCTCAGCTCTGGCTCTAGCAACCTAGATTCATCCACAACACTATGTCCTGGGACAAAGAAAGAGAGCACACCTCTGCCACTCCTAACTGTCTCCCACCATCATCCTGATCCACCCAAGAAATTCCATTTCCATTTCTTTGGAGTCATTAGTTTAAACAGTTCATGAAAACAACTGTAAGTTTTAAAATACATAGCAATTGGGGCTGGGGATGTGGCTCAAGCAGTAGCACGCTCGCCTGGCATGCGGGTGGCCCGGGTTCGATCCTCAGCACCACATACAAACAAAGATGTTGTGTCCACCAAAAACTAAAAAAAAAATAATTATTAAAAATTCTCTCTCTCTCTCTCTCTCTTTAAAAAAAGTAAAAATAAAACACATAGCAACATGTGTAGTGAATACTCATGTAATTTTGTCAAATTACATATAAATAGTATTTAGAAGGATTTCCTAAACCATGGTTATCTCTCAATGTATTTCTTCTTTTTACCCACCTAGAGTATTTCTAGCATTTATAATAAACATATATAATTTCTACCAAAAAAAAAAAAAAAAAACAGGTGCCGGCCTTGGTGGTGCATGCCTGTAAACCCAGCAACTTGAGAGGCTGAGACGGGAGGATAGCAAGTTCAAGGTCAGCTTAGAGAGACCCTGTCTCAAAATAAAAAATAAAAAAAGGCTGACGATGTAGCTCAGTGGTAAAGTGCCCCTGGGTTCAACCTCCAGTATGACAAGAAAAAATATGAAAGAAAAAGGTAATTTCAAGAGGAAAAAAAAATAATCAGGTCGATCACAAAGGACTATATATTGAAGGGTTCCATTTACATGAAATACCCCAAGTAGGTAGATCCTTAGAGACAGCAGATAATGGTTTCCCAGGGCTGAAAGTGGGGAGGGGGTGAGGGAATGGGGAGTGACAGCTAGTAGACATGACTTTCTTTTAGAGACAATGAATATGTTCTAAAATTGATTTTGGTGATGGTTGCGCTATTCTGTGAATATACTAAAATCACTGAATGGCACACTTAAAAAAATAAATCTGGCCCTTCCCCACTGTGACCTTGTTAACTTTTACTACCGATGCCAAAAAACAATCAAATACGTTTTCTTCATCTGAAAAAAATATATAGACAAGTTATTGTTTCTCCAATCAAAATATTTCAATGGCTCCCATTTCACTTGGAACAAAGAATTCAAGATCTAAACCCATTACTTCTCTGAGCTCATTCTCCTCTCTCATTCAGCTCCACACTGCCTCCTCAGTGTTCCTCAAACAGGTCGTTGCTCTTTCACCCCAGGACCTTTGCACTCACCATTCCCAGTGTTGGGAATGTTCTTTGTCCCGCATGCAACCATGGATTCACACTTTCACCTTCACATCTTTGCTCAAATATTGCCTTCTTGGCAAAACCTTTCCTGGTCTCCCTGTTTCCTGTATCAAATCCCTCTGCCTGTCCCAGTGATCCAGCATTTCCTGTCCATTATCCCTGCTTTACTTCTTGCCACTCTGCTTATCACCACTTGACATAGTACACATTTTCTTGTCTGTAATCTGTCAGCCTTTGTCAAAATATAACACTCAGAGCGGGCTCTGTTTTGTATCGAGAACAGTACCTGGCACAAGATAGACCTGGAGTAATATTAGTTGAATGAATGAATGGAGTGTGTATGGAGTGATGGAGGACCCAGATTTCTTGGTCCTGCTGTGGCCTCATTTAAAAGTCACCGGATCCCTGTGAGGTATCATCCCCATTTCGTAGAGGGAAACACTGAGGCTGGAGGTGGAGCTGGAGCTCTACCACAGGCCTCCAACTCGTTGACAGCCCCCCTTCCCTGTGACTGCACTGCCCGGGAAGGAGGGGCCCAGGTAGGCACTGCTCAGCCACAGTGCACGGCTCTCCCCACCACGCCTACCCCAGTGTGAACTCACCACCTCCATTTTTGTAGCAGAGATAGGGAAACCTCCAGACATTGCCTAGCCCAATGATCTCCCCGGCCACTGACAGCACAAACTCCATCTTGTTGTTCCATTGGCCCCGATCCTTCACCTGGTCCTCGCCTTCCTGGTCCGACGTCTCTCCCTCCTCCGGGACCCAGGAGACCATAGGAGGCCCATTCTCAGGGACTGCCACTTTTTTGTCCATAGCCAGATAGTGAGTTGGGAGTCCCCGTGGGATGGAGCAAGATGTCAGAGAGGCAAAGTCTGGTGGGAGGAGGAGTGAACTATAAAACCCTGGCACAGACCCCACCGTCCTGCCCTCCCCAGCCCGGTCTTTGCTGTTGGAGTATTGCTTTTCTTCTCCATGGCACCTCTCCATAGAGTTACACTTTGCTCTCAGAGTCATGAGACTAAACAAATGGGGAGCAAATCTCAGTTTGCAGATGTGCTGACAGGAAAGTCAAGCCTCGACAGATAAAGACCAGGCAGGAGCAGAGCTGCCGTGAAAGTCCAAGCCTGGGGCATTATAGACCAAGTGGCTCTTGATCTCTATCACCAGTCACCATCACAGCTGGCTCGTGTGCCCAGATCCTCAGGATTTAGTGGGTGACACTAGCCTGGCCTCTGACCTCCGGGGCAGAAGGAATCAAAGGCTGCCAGAGGTGATGGGGGTCAAAGGGCAGTTTGTCCAAGGTGGCTATATTGTCCCCCCTCCCAGTTTTGTGCTCGTTCCTGTGCCAAGGTGATGGATCAACTCTGGGTAAACATGGGGCCAGCTAGCCCAGGGTGTCTGATTGGAAGGGCAGGAGAAGGTGGGACCTCAGAACAAAGCAGGATGGGGACTAGAACTGGCACCAGGGCCAAGTATAGGCCTTCAAAGGAGCCCTGTTTCTCTTCTCTCAGTTGCATTTCTGTCATGAGAAAACTTAGGGGGCTATGTGCCAGGAGAGGTCACCAGAGCAATTGTTACTTGGGTAGTGGTCATCTCCAGATGACTCCAAGATGACCAAATGGTCTCCCAAGAGGGAAGCCAGGACTGGGGTTGTAGCTCAGTGGTAGAGTGCTTGCCTTGCACCAGTGAGGTACTGGGGTCGATCCTCAGCACCACATAAAAATAAATAAATAAAAGTACTTATTTAAAAGGGTGGGGACAAGCCTGGTAAGAACTGCCCATCATGGCAGATCACTGACCATCCTTTAATCCCTCCCCTCTTAAAGATCCCCAAACTCCCTGGACCTCCAGGAGAATGATGTGGACCCCTGTCAGTTTTATTTTCCAATCCTCTCATCTGTCAATCACCAAGAGACAGATTGCAGCAGAGTTGTTTCTGCAGCCCATGTTTGCCTTCTCCTCTCTCCACCCATACAGACAATCAGCCTGAAGCCACTTGTGCCTTTATTCCCAGGCAAGTGCCAGGAGACATTGTCCCAGCCTACAGAGAGAAGCACCCATCCTGCCACCCCTCACCTCGGAGGGGTGTTGGGGGAATCAAAGTGACCAGGACTACCCAGTGCTCCATGCTCCTCCGAAGCTCTAGAGAAACACAAGGGAGTCTTTTTATTAAGGAAAAGTCTGTGTTTATTTGTTGGTCCTTTTAACCCAGGCAACAGCCCAAGCCCAAGTCAGTTAGAGAGGCGTGGGCAGGAGCCATTTGAGGTTATGGAAATTTTTGAAGGTGACTTGGAGGGTACAGGTTATCCCAGGAGCAGAAAGCATGTCAGGGTAAAATGCTGGGATTGGGACTTGTTCAGAGGCTTCTAATGCAAGCTCAATCCAGGAGGGAGAACAAGGAGTCACCTGGGAATTCAGAGGCCAGGTACAAGAGAGAAGGAGGGAAGAAGAGAAGAAAAGAGGGCTTCATGTTGGGAGGAAGTGGCCAGTCCCAGGGGAACTTAAAGAACCAGAGCTTCAGGTTGAAAGGACAGGGGAGCTCCACCCAGGGAAGAGGCCCATGACACCTGAACCCCAAAATGACCATTGCTAATGAGTTAGACCTGGGGCACCCTAAGGAACGGCCCTTGAATCATTATCAAACTAATGAACAAATAAGTGAATGAAAACTTGGAAACACAGACTCAAAAGCATCAGAGAGGAAACCCGAGATCTCATCCACATTTTGCTAATTACAATAACAGTAGAAGGTTAACATTTGAGGAAGCACTGAGTTAAAAACATACTGATCTTTATGTACATTATTGAATCTCTTCCTCATAAGTCTCTGAAGTAGGTGTTACTATTAGCTCCATTTTATGTATGAGGAAGCGAAGCTCAGAGATTAGAGAACAGTACCTGGCACCTAGCAGGAGCTCAGTAAAACTCTCTTGGAAGGGTGGAATAAACTTACCAAGACAATAAGTGGTGGAGCTGGGTCTTGTGGTGTGACCTTAGTCAACTCACACTTCCTCTCTGAACTTTAAATCCTCCTGGAAGAGAGAAGGACCCCTGCTCAACAGGAATATTGCAAGAGTGGGAGAATAACAGTAAGATCCATAATAAGCAATCACTGTCTTTTTTAAATATTTATTTTAGTTGTAGTTGGACACAATACCTTTATTTTATTTATTTTTTTAATGTGATGGTGCTGAGGATTGAACCCAGGGCCTGGCACATGCTAGGCGAGCACTCTACCACTGAGCCACAATCCCAGCCCCAGCAACTACTGTCTTTGCTTGCCAAGCCATAGGGTAGCTGAGCTCAGGGCAAGCCCAAGCACAAGGTCCCCAAGGGAATGGTCATCAGAAAAGCCTGACTATTTCCAGACCAGAGGTGACTATTTTAAGACCATGATGTTCTCAATAGGTGTCGGGGGGCAGACCTGATGGATAAAAGGAGTAACAGAAAGGATGGATGAAGGGAAAGCTGAAGGAGAGCAAGGACAGAACTCAGTTTGTGCCAAGGATTTGGGTTGTATCAAGGATGGGGGAGGAGACAGGAGAGAACATGAACTGACATGGGGTCATTCATTTTTTTGAAACAAAAATATTATTGGAAGAAGCATGACTTACAGGTAAGAATAAAAAACTGGAATGGCAGAATGAAAGCAAGAGCAAGTGAAAGGAAAAGTTGGCTCAGAGCCCTGGTAAGTTAAGGGGAAACAGACTGGAATTGAAGCAAGAGAGAGTTCAGTTAGACGAGGGGGAGGAATATCCTGGAGGACCTTAGACGTAAAAACAAACAATATGTGGCTATCCTTTGGGGGTTATTTTTAAAAGCCAAAAGGACAGCATAGCCTACCCCCTCTGCACCTTTCTACCTCTCATCTCTTAAGAATGGTTTCACCAGTGTTGTCCACCGCAAAGATGACTTCTGGAAATCTTCCCAAGAATTCACCCCAGCTCTGTCCCCTTGGCAGCCCCCAGCATCTCCTCCCCAGACTGTCTCCCTGCTTTATTAAAATGGGGCAGAAGATGGAGATAGGGGATGGTCCTCCCCCCCAAGAAGCAAAGACACCCATGCACACACTGGGCTCTAGTCTTTCAGAGATTAGAAAGTACAAAGCTACTTTCTGTTTGGGGTGCTGGGGGTGTAGATGGAAGGCTGGCCGGGCTCTGGCAGGTGAAGTCCAGAAATGCCGCTGCCTGCCAGTGGCCAGGTCCGGGCTCAGTCTCCTTGGCAGCCTATCCAGCGTGAGAAGGGCCTGGCCACTGCTGCAGCCCACACCCACATACCAATACCCATTCCTACACGCACACTGGTGCCTTCCGTCACGTCTCTTTGCACACACATACCTGTGTGCATGGCACCAAAGCCTGGCTCTGTCTGTAGCCCTTCACACCCCGTGGGCGGCCTGGCTCTGCTGTGGCTGCCCACGCTTTCCCTCACACCGCCCCCAACCTTAGACACAAACACTCCCCTGCTGCCACCCAAGAGCCAGGCTGCTTCCTTCTTTTGGGAGCCACTCGGCTTCCGGCTCACCAGTGACCCTGAAGGGAAGGACTGTCACCCCTCACCTGTGATGGTTAGTTCCCACCTCTCTGGGCACTGCCTGCCTCCCCCACCGTCCGAGTCAGCTGACTGCCCCTCTTTCACCCACTGCCCAGGGCCAGCTCCGGTAATAGACTCTCCTGCTACCCAGGTTTATTCCTGAGCACCCAGTGCTGTGGATGTTGCGGGGCACTTGGTGGCACCCATTGTCCCAGCATTCCCAATACCAGACTTTCTCTTTGGCGTGGGGAATTGCAGTTGCCTACCCCCACTCCCCAAGACCCCCCTCCATAGTTCTGTGAAGTCCAGCCCCTCCGCTTCCTGCTCACCTCAGTGCCCTGCAGTCAGCTCAGCTCCATACACGGGTCATTCCAGGGACCTGAAAGGGGAATGTTCTCCACCTTCACTCCTGTTCCTCCCAGCACAGACTCCCATCCAAGTTGTCCTGGGACTCCCAGGCAGAAAGCCACTCTCTCTGTGTGTGTGAGACAAAGAGAGACAGAGTATTGGGAAGTGAAGGGACAGAAATACCACAAGTAACAGGAGGGATTGAAGCCAAAAGTCTACGAATCAGGATTACAACATCCAACCTCAGGAAGCCAAGCCCTCTGTCCCTGCCCCCAACCCATGACACTCGCGCTGTAGCCCCCTCCCTCCTGGCCTTTGCCCTCCCAGTGGCACTGTCCCAAGACGTCCTGTCCCCTCCGTAGCTGGGCTGAGCAGGGGAAGGGGCTCAGACCCTCACATCCTGCCCTCATCTCCCCTCTTGTTCTTTGCCCCTTCCCTTTCTCCCTCTGCTCCCCACCACAGTACCATCCCCTTCTTAGGCGAGGGACAGCCCTCTCTTACCAGAGCAGCAGATGCAAGCCACCAACTCCCAGGCTGGAGGCTGAAAACTCGGGAGGGGAGTTGGCCTCCCTGATGAGGGCACGGGAGGAGGGTGAATCATACACTGGAGTTTTCCACCAAGTACCTGCCCTCTGTGGCTTCCAGGCAGAGCTCTAGAACCACTACCTTCTCCTTGGGATTTTCCTAGAGAAAGCACCCAGAGCGTGTGTATCTCCAGGTACACGATGCAGAGAGGACTCCGGTCGGCAGCCAGACAGGGCTGGCTTTCCTCCTCTCCTCTAGCACCTACCAGTCTGGTCAGGGAGGTGAGGAGCCGAGCCTCAGTTTCCCACACTGGAAAAGTTAATGATCCATAGTTTGCAGGGATTATTGCAGACCAGTTGGTCATTGCCTAGGCTAGCCCAAGAGCTCAAGGGAAGCTGTTGGTGTTCGTTATGATGCCTCTGGAAGCAGGGGCTCGGAACGTGGAGGGTCTGGTCCTAAGCAGCACCTCTTGGCACTGATGTACACAGATAGGATTCCTCTGGAGTAGCCTGGCAGCAGGCCGTGCTGAAGGGCCTGTGTGGAGTATGTGCCCTGTGCTGCATGCCCAGTGAGCGTCTCCAGAATGAGGCCCTCGGTCACCTCTCTTGAGCATGCCCTCAAGGCACTGGGGACAAGACTGTCCCATGGCCCTTCATTCAGAAGGGACAGTGCCTTCTTCTAGACAAAGCTGTTTCTTCAGCTACAGGTGGTGTGGGGGGAGGGGAAGTTGTGGGGAGAAGGGGAAATTTCCCTCTACATGTGCTTCCTCTTTGTCTCTTAGAACTTCCCAGCAGCAGAGGGGTGTGAAGTGAGAATCTTGGTCTGTAATTTTCCATCCAGCACCCCTACTCAGCATCCCTCCGGCCCCTCTCAGCCTCTTCTGTGAGGTCCCTCATCAAAAGAAAGCTAGAGTGAGTCTAAGTTCTCAGGCCCTTTGCCTCTGTGATACTAGAAGTCAGGCTGAAGGTTGGCTCTGCAGAGGAGGACCCACCCGGTCCAGCCAGAATCCACACTTGTGTTACCCCCATGCCCAACTGTCACGGTGCCATCTGCATTGCTATGCCTGCCCTGTCTCTGAATATTGGGTCCAACGTGTATTGATCATAGAGTTTGTCGCAAAGGGGTTCTGGAGTCCAGGAGACTACCTAGTTACAGCTAGTAGAAAACAAAATATCCAGCTGCTCCAAACTCACCCTCTTGCCTAGCCTGACTCTCTTTCCCTCTCTCCCCAGGGAGTGGAGCTTGATTTTTTTCCCCCAAAGAGAAAGCCCTCTCTGCCTCATTCCTCCTGCTCTTACCTGGATGCCTCTGGTCTGAGTCTCGTTGGCTTAACTTTGAGCCATCCTTTTCCCCTGGGTATTCAGACCAACTGGAAAATTCTGGAGGCCAGAAACCCTGTCTTTGCAAAAAGAAGGAATCCTAGAAATTCTAGCTAAGACTGGACTGTTTCCATACTGGGAAGAGTCCTGGATTGAGAGGAAATATGACCAAGTGAATCTCACGGCAGTAAGAACTACTGTGCCCCCTAGAATGTTCTCAACACCATCATCTTCTAACTCCAGGCATGCTTTTAGAGGACCTGGGGTGGAACCTATTTCATCAGCATCTAACTCAGGCTCAGTGCTTTACCTGTTACCTCATGTAATCCCCTTAGAAATCTTGAAATGTAGGCCTTATTAGCCCCATTTTACAGAAGAGAATGCTAGGGAGAATATATGCTAAGTGATTTGTCGCATGGCCATGCACTAGTCCATGATAGAACTGGGATTTGAATCTGGGTCTCTTGGTTCCAAAAATCTATGCAGTATACAGCATACTATTTACCAGACCATATATATATATATATATGTCAGGGGTTTCATTTCATAATTCTTTGTTTCTGCTGCTAGCATTTAATACAATACTGCCTCCCAGTAGGCACTTGGTTTTTACTGATTACATGGATGTATGGATGAACTGACAGACAGATGGACAGATGAATGCAACTTGATGGGGGAAACATGATCCCCACCTTTCCTGTCCTGGGAAGGCTTTGCTCTCCCAGGACAGGGGAATAAGCTAAAGCAGGGAGGCTCAGGCCCTGCTTTTCTTGGACAATACTGCTGTGATGAGCAGGGCTGCTGGGCCACAGGCTGAATACTTTTTTAGGACTGCCTCTTCCTTGCCTCCTAACAAATAATTTTAATTCAATAAATGTGTATTCTCCTTCATGGAGCCCAATGCAACATAATGTCTGGGGCGGGTGAAGCTAGTGGACAGCAAGGATGTCTCATTTCATCCTGGGCTTTTCTGTTATACTGACAGTCCAATGTGGGGTAAATACAAGGGATTTGCTTGAGTGTCCCCAGGGCAGCTGTCACTATTCTCTCTACTGGACAACAGTGACTTCTATGACATAAATAGTATGATCCTCATTTTTCAGAGGAGAAAACTAAGGAACCAAGAGGTTATCTTGCCCAAGGTCTTACAGCTAATAAGATCTAAGTCGGGACCGCAAGTCTCAGTAAAGGAGTGTGCTCAGCTGACTGTGGGGCCTCTAACTTTGTGCACGTGTGGACATTTGTCTAAGGATAGTGAGAAACTGTGTGTATACACATGTATGAATCAGAGACCTAAATATATCTGTTTGTAAGGTCTAAGGCATGAGGTCTGAGGCCCCAAGGCAGCTTGGTGAGCCAAGTGTCCAACAAGTGCTTGCTACCGCACTAAGCCTCAGTTTGGAAATCTCCAGTTATTCATGCTTCTGCTGTTTGCTATCACCTGCCAAGACTCTCCCCACCTGCTTCTCTAACAGGTGTAGCCTTTGGACAAGGGAGGTTCCCCATCCTGTTGTGCTCTCTTCCTCTGGAAATTGTCTCTGCCATTCCAGGCAAGGAAAGCAGATGGGGACAAAAACAGCCCTCCTCCACCCCCACTCTCATCTTGTCCCCTCCCTTGGCCTAAACCAAATGCAGGAACTGCTGCTCTCAACTCTGACCTCAAACCAGCAGCATTTCTCACATTAGTACCTGTCAGCTCCCCACTCCTGGATGACCAGAGAAACTCCCCTCACCCATCTCCCCAAATGTTTAGTGACCTCACACTCATTGGCCTCAAAAGACTGAAAGGACTCTCACACCCATGGCCTCATCTGAGCCCGACAACAGACAGATGGACAGATGAATGCCACTGGATGGGGTTGTAGTTGCAGTGCATGGCGCATCTGAAAAATGAACATGAAGTCCAAGGAGCTTCCGCACAGACAAACGGCAAGTTAGAGGCAAGTCAGGACCAGAACCCTAGCTCCTGATTTTTGAGCCAGGCAGTGATTTTCACGCCATATTTTACCATTTGTGAATCTCCTGAAAGGGACTCAAATCACCATGACTGGACTTTGCCTTCCACCTGGACCCTCTTTGCAGCCTAACCCTAGGGGTTCATCTCTACAACTTAGGCTCTGACAGTGAAGTGGAGGTCATGGCAGTGCCACCCCCTTGTGGCCACATTTAATGGTGACAGCTTCCTTTTGCAAAACATAAAAGGAGCAAGGCCATCCTGGGGCGGTGGGATCCCTCTACTGGCAGATCTGGGGTAGTGCCCTCCTCTGCCAAGGCTCTCCTTTCCCTCCTCCCATGGGCAAGGGCAAGGCCTGCTGGCCCTCTCTTAGGTCCCCAGCACCAGGTCTTGGGTGGGCACGCACAGACCAACTTCAAGGGCAGGCAAGGACACAACAAAGGGAATGCAGGCAAGAAGAAGCTGCAACCAGGCTTTTACTTTCCTGTAGCTAGTGCCCAGGGCTCCCCTATCCTTGCCTCCATCTCCTTTCTTATCCTGCAAAGCAAAGGAGGAGAGAAGGGAAGCATGGGGGTGGTGTGGAAGCTTCCTCTAGTCCAAATGTCTGATAATGAAGGGTTGTGGCTTGGCCCCGTCACCCTCCCACCACACAGCAATACCCTCTGCTAAGTGGTCCACAAGGAGAACTCACTGAGGGAAGGCGAGGGAAGGGAGAGGAAGGGTCCTACAGCCCCAGATTCAAAGTGGGAAGGTGGCCAAGGCACAAGGCAGACGGCAGAAACCAGACAGAACTGCAAGAGTCAGTGGGAAGATGGGTTTAATGGAATGAAGGGTAGAAGGCCAGACGCCAGCCATGCTCTCACCCGCCAGCCCTCACCCAGCTAGCTTCCCAAGCTGCCTCAAAGGGGTCCTCTTGATCCTGGCATCTCACAACTGTTCAGACCACCCCTGGAGCAGGGAAGTTGGAGTGGAAGGCCCCCAGTGCGGAAGGCAGATTCCCAAGATATTTGGGCTATTTAGCAAATATCTTTTGTCTTGTCTGCCCCAGGTGGGGAGCAGAGAAGCAGAGAGGGCCTGCATTTGCCCTCTGCTCCTGCAGTTGGCCCCACACCCCAGCTCACAGGCACCATCTGAGAGTCTGGACCCTAGCAGTGAGACTCGGGTTCTTTGAGTGACGTTCTGAGAAGTGACGTTGTGTGTGTGGCAGGGGCAGGGGGTCCTCCTTGGTTCCATTTGGGCAGGTCCTCAGCTGGGCATGTGAGCTGGCGGATTCTCTGCAAGGACAGTGGAGGTCGTTGTCACATGGTGGAGTGGGGGGGCTGTCTGCCAGAACCCCTTATCATCAAAGTCTGCCTGCAGCCCCATAAACTTACTTCCAGGTACCAGGCCTATCATCATAGTCTTGCACCCACACCAGCCGCTGGCTCCTCTGTGTACCAGCTCCTACCCCTTCAGGCAGCCCACCGTCATCCAGGAGCCTTCCTCACCCAACAAGGTGCCGAGCTCTGACTGCTTTCCTCCATACCTCTCTGAAGGGGCCCTTGAGAGTGCTGAGTTTGTAGAAGCTCCAGGCAGGAATGCAGACCATGGAGGACAGAGCCAGGAGCCAGCCCAGGGCATCACCCCACCATGGGTATGTGTACTTCTTGTTGTAGGTCAGTGGAGTGTACTTGACCAGGGAGAACAG